AGATTTCATACTGCTGCAAGGTGCACCAGTGCTCGGCAGGTGACACAACTGATTGCTAGCCAACGCAAAAGAAGCACCATTTCTGCCTCAAGTCTGGAAGGATTCCGCCCCTCCCCTCCTCTCCCCCGACCAGGCCCATCGTAACGCCTTGCAGCTGTCGTAACGGCAGCCGAGAAGCGCTGGGAGCTGTCACTCAAAATACGATGAGAGCAAAGGCATCACCTTCATTCGTAAATTTAAACAATGCCACAATTTTATCAAAGAGGTAACAACTATAGGAAAGCGGAAATGGAAGAAGAACACAGCCAAAAAAGGAAAGATTGAAAGGCGAATACGAAATTCAAAACCAAAACATCTGTACAAGAAACGACGTCTAGCTAGACGTCGACACTATCTTCCTCCCTCTTTCCCTCCTCCTCTCGTGGATGACGTTGCTGCCACCATCGCAGTAGACGTTGCATCTCCCTCACCTGGTCACGTAGTTGGTTCAGTCTAAAGGAAGTGGATGGTAAGAATGTTGAACAATTGACTGATTAAAAGGGACAAGTGAACTCACCGATGTGCGAATTCCGACTCCTATAAAAAAATAAGGTGTTAATGCGAACCACTGCTACTAACTCAGAAATAAGTAGAAGGCAGAGAGGAGAGAGTGAGGAGGTGATAACTTTAACTTACCACGATGTTGAGGGTGGAGAAGACGATACCAACGCATCGGTTCATATCGGTGAGAAAGCTGACGAAGGGAAAAGAGGGGTGACAAGTGTCTCAACGCGGTGTGTTTACAAATTCCAGCAAAGAAAATCCATTTTCACTCACCTTGCTGAGATGATCGGTTGCTAAAATGGGCAAAAAAACGAAAAGAAACAAAGTAAAGTGCATTTAAGATGCAATCAGGATAAAAGGATTATTTGTAATGGTTATACAAAAGCTGGCCACTTGGAGGAGGCTACAGGGATCAAACGTCAGCTGGAGTTTAACTGAGTGTGCCCGATAGCTAGTTAGGCACGAAATGGCGTTGTTTGAAGCTGCATACGACCCGGCGGCATTCCGTTGTATCTGTGAGACGCGGACTTCCGTGTGCACCAGTAATCCCACCTCTCTCAGTAAGGCAAAGTAATAAACCTTTCCAAGTGCACATAGGGAGTCATTAAAAGTTCTTGATTAATAACCGAAGAGGGTTGCGGTATCCATTTATCCTGTGGAAGGAAGCGCATCATTCCCAATATACGGCATCGAATAGACACAGGAATGTCGTATTGCTTAAATCAAAAGCAATGGAAGGAATAGAGAGAGACCTCTGAAAATCGAGGCGCAAGTCCAAGAGCTCCAGAAGTGCTAGAAATTAAGCCGAGTGAGTAAGCGGAGGGATGGATTTGACTATCAGAACCTTCAGATTCACATAAGTCAGCGGTATACTACTTATATGCACCACAGCAACGCATTCAAGAGCTTGACTTTCCGAGGTGGAGAGGATGTCCACTCCACCATCGACAGAGGAGTATTAACTCAGGCATCCAGGATAGCTGCTTTCAGATCAGTCCTTTGGTCTGCGATTGTAATGGACAGGACAGTACCGACAGCGGTAGCTGGACTCAAGGAAACGAGGTATTCATTTCATACCGTAAAGACTACAACCGACATAGATCACACTTTGGTACCATCTCGTAGCGGAGAGGGAGAGGAAGAGGTCACCATTCTCCACACTCTCCACGCACAAAAAGCGACATTTAATGGCTTTTAGGTGAATTGCATAAGGTGGAGGAAAGTGGAGGCGGAAAAAGAGGAGGTTCACTGTGATGTTCCTTGCTCACCACTTCAGGAATGATGAGGGAGGAAGCGCGAAAAGGAGAAGTTGGTGAATAAGATTTCAAATTAATTAATGAGCGAGGTAATAAGGCTAATTCCTACTACAATACCATAATGCTAATAATGGCGTACTGAAGAATGCTCTGGTGTAGCCGTAAGCAGAGAGACTGCCCGCTTCAACATGCCTTTCGGCCTCTTCACTACACTCTTATTCTTCCCCTTGAGGCGCGGTAGGCCCTTAACCAATTCATCGTCCTCAGAGAGGGTGAAATCGTAGACACCGCTGGTGTTTGGTGTGGGCGCAAAGAGGCCAAGGGCAGAGCGGCGGCTGGTGTCCAGACTGCTCCCGGTTGTACCCACCTCCACTTTTGCTGCTTTCCGTGAAACAGGGATTGGAGAGGGAAGAGCCGATCCGACAACCGAATGATCGCTGTAGTCCAGCTCATTGCTGCAAGAATAAGGAACTGTGCAATCCTTTACTTTCGGGAAAAGAACTCTGTTAACAAAAGGAGTTTTATGAACTCCCCTAAAAAGATTACACGCATCAAAGATGGATAAGTTTGAATGGACATAACAGATTCAACAGAATGTCAGCCTTTTAGATCCTCTGGAATGAGTAAAGGAGAAGAATGTGGGAAGCCTAGCGGCAACTACGTGAGGTTGGAAGCCCTCTTAGACCAAACATATCACAGGACGACTCAACTGTAGAGAGTGAGTTAATTCAGTATCGGGACGGTGCAAGAAATTTTGTGGTTTTCCTTCAACGCCATAACTGAAGAGCATTGAAATGTTCGGCATTAAAATGAAGTGGGAGTTGGGGAAGATAAAATTATGCCCAGTATTTCCTCACAAAAGTTCGTGTGTGACCACCTCCCAAGAATCTTGAAGGTCCCGTCAAGGGGGTGCGAATGACCTCTACACTGCGTCAACGTGTGCCCACCGTATACCTGAAAGGATCTTTAAAGCAATTGACAGTTGGAATGACGGTGTCGTCAGGCCTTCAACTTGCAATAGTGCACGTGAATTAAAAAAAAGCCATACCATTTTTCAGTGGTCGAAGGGAACGGAAGTGGTTACGGTGCGTGTCTAAAAGCGTGGACTTGATGCGACCCTTTTTGTGCAAACAAAGCCATGGCCACAGGAGTGGGTGAAATTAGGTTCAAATTGCAACAAAATTTGTCCTTTGATATTGGGCAGGATGAATGGAGCCAAGAGGAAGGTTAGAATTTATTAAACGACGATCTTAAAGTGACTAATGGGCCGTAAATTGTGTTTCCATTCCCTCATACTGGACATTGCGTGAAGCATAAACTCCAAGGCTCAGTGAAGTGCGAGACCAAGACTAAAAGGATGAAACAGCAAATAAAATGATTCGAAAACTTTCATCGCACGAACACAACGAGAGGGTCGGAGGAGGAAGGCAATGACTGCATGAATAACAAAGGATAAAAAAATAGTTCCAGACCTGCTTAAACGAAAGGAAGTAAGGAAGTGAAGACACGTTGAAGAAAGGTTGTTTGTCGACTGAACAATCAACAAGACGCTGGCAGAGCATCAAAAAAGAAAGGAGAGGAGAGAGACAGATGTAGAAGGTGACTGAACACGTAATTTACGCCTTCCACTAGGCCGTGTTGGGGGATGGGGGCAGAAATAAAAGGAAAGCGGAACTGAAAGTGCAGCACCAGTGCTCCAATTCACTAGGCCGCAGTGCGGCAATGGGTTTCTGAGAGGAACCCACGAGACACTAGGGATTATTTACATAAGAATCTGAGGGAAATAACAGAAATAACTACCCGCTAATTAATGGCCCAAAGGCTCTCAGGAAAAATAAGGAGGTTCGGTTGAGGTTTCGAGCCAGGTGATCAAAGCTTCAACAATTACTACGGTCCCCATCTGATAGCCTAAATCCAAAGTCACCATAAGCAAGTAGGTCTAACACAGAAGCTACCCGAAAAGGGCATCAAGACGCATGAAGTGGTTGAGGATAAAATGGCCGAAGATTTGAGAAGACCTACAGGCTTGTTTCCATAATGCGATTTCTGGCGATTGCAGCGGCTCGTCGAATCGCAGGACGAGACTGAAGACGACATCCCGATTCATCGTCGGCACCAGTTCCCGAAGGGTCTTTTGGGGGTCGAAATGACTCCCCTTTCCCCTTCTCTACGCCACCCGAACCTTCCAAGGAGAGAGCTATAAAATAAATGCGAGGCAGTGAACACCTCAAGTCAGTGGTTATTTTGATGCAGTTACCAAGGCGAAAAAATCAACTGACATAACTGGAGATCGAGGCGGTCTGCATCGCCCCTTTCCTTCTTCTTAGACAATGACTTGCGACGCTGCTGCCCATCATCCAGCCTTTTCTCCTTCTTGCTAGTCTCACTGGTTGCTTTTCTTTGAATTACCTCAAAAAATCGCTTCTCTATTTCACGTTTATTTCGCTCCGCAAAGGTAGACGCAAAGAAACGTCGACCACGAGAAGGAGAAGCACAACCCTTCATACTCTTGCGTTTTGATGATGTCTCCTTGTCAAGTGACTTCTTATCGCCCCTCGTCTTTGCCGAAATGTTGAAGAACTTGTTTCCCAAGGCTGGAACGATGAGGCCACCTAAACAGAGATTTACAGTTATGCATGAGCTGCAAGCTTACCTGGAGGAGGAGGCTTGTTATCTGGGGTTAAAACACCCACTGCATTCGGACAGGGTGATTCGTCTGCAAGGTAAGTAGCCGTGGTGTCCCAGAGACGTTTCGATTTCTTCAAGTTTGTGGGCGAATCACGAAGCTTGGAGGCGCCATTTTCTTGAGATTCCATGGCATTAACAACTGCTTCAAGGCGTTGAAAGGGTGACATAACCATAGGAGACGGTGCAGACCGATTAACTGTTTGTGAATCCTCTAGCGTGGAATCAACATCAGTGGTTAGAGTGGTGATAGTAGTGCTATTTGCAGTAGAAGCGCGACTTTGCCGACTGCGACGAGTTGATGATGGAGGCGGCTGAATAGGGCTGAGGAAGGCATCAGCATCGATTGATTTCTGGATAGAAAAGGAAGTGTAGCACTAGAAGGTACCGTCTTCGAAGTAAACGTTGGAGAACTGAAAGGACAACTGACCCGTTTTGTAGGAGGTGACAGCTGTTGTGCTGACGATTTACTATCGTCCAGATCAACGGAAGGAACGGCACATAGTGGACCCGATTTACGTCCCATTAAGTTGACATCATCTATTAGGGAGTAAGAAGGAGATTGCAGACGCGACTTTATCAAACGGAAACCACACAAATGATCGAATGAATCCGCCTTTAGAACGTTATTCGAAAAGTTGGTAGACTTATTTCCCCTATAAATTCTATCAAATTATTTTATAAATATAGTGTAGAAGTGTTAATGAGGTCGTCTGCAAGGTGTTTTATAAAAATGACGTGTAAAGTGATGTCTGTGGACGAATAAGGCTTGAACACAACTCCTATTAGAGGAGTTGCCTCCTCCAGCATTATCGCGTTGCCAAAATGCTTGTCACGAGAGTCAAAAATCCCCCACGAGGGGAGCACCAAAGAGGTTTAGAGTTGCTGACATTAAGACCTCCACTACCCTTTAATTCACAGTAAAAGATTATAAAACCTTCGAGGCCGGAAGACGGTTGACGCTTAAACTTCCCACACTAATTACTCTAGGAAGTCAAATCATTATTTTGCCAACAAAGGACGCCTAAAATTTGATCGAAATGTAATATGCGTTGGACTCTGGCCTCTCCGTGCACAGTAAATAAAAGGACTAGGTAACAAAGGCTTGTTTGACATGTGCCAAGCCGCCTATCAAGTGCTAAATCAAGTGAGCGCGTTAAAGGGGCAAGTATTTTCTGGCTATAGTGGTGCCTAGGATCAGTGCATTTTTAGAGCCAGAAAAGGATATAGACAGAATTATTTTGTTTTTCTGCCACCTAATCGTAACAGACAATGAGTGACGAGAAGTGTCGCGGTAGGAATGCAAAAGAAAGATCAAGTGAAGCAGAAAAAATTGAACTGCTCGTTTCACCTGGAGGGGCAGTGGGAAAGGCCATCTCAACGGCATTTTCACACTGTTTAAGTGTTGCTAAAGTAAGTTCGGATAGGGTGAACACGTGTTCCACACATGTGATGGTAAGAGGCATCAGAGATCCCAGAGGAACTGACCAAAACCAAGGGTTGGACAGATTCACACCTTGAAAAGTTGACGTTCAAGTGGTGGGAATCACACTTTCTCTTAGCTATTTGTCTTATCATCAATAAACTAATGCGAAACGAATGTTAGAAGATGGAATGAATGAATGAAGTCTCAACTGATACATGATTTAGGCAGTGACGAAAGCTCAGGAACCTTTGGTGTCATTTCCAATGGAAAATCGGCTGAGAGTTTAATCACGCCTCAAGGATAATCAAAACGACCAACCTCCAATCTTCGGCTTAAAGTCTTCTTCAATCTGAGGGGGCGAGGCTTTAGGAATGACTATGGGAAGAGGAATGGTAGAGGTTTTATCCTCAAAAGCCACAGCGGTTCTTCTCGCGCGTTCAGGCGACTCCAGAGGAGACTCTAGGTTGATACACATGTAGCGAGTCGAAAAGGGATGAAAGAGGTGACTTAAATATCTACTGGACTAACCAATACTGAGTTGACAGACAGTTACACCAGGCGTTTTGTCTGACAGAACTTCCACCAATGCTGCTGGTGGAGTGCGTGGTGGTGAAACAACTTTGAGTAAGCCCGCAGCATCCACGCTCGCAGGTCCGGGATGGAAAGATTGGATGCTCTCCAAGGGTGTCCGTGAGTCCTGCACTACGGGGCATCGATTAAGAACGAGCTCTTCTTTCGCTGAAATGCAAGGAAAAAAGCGCTATCATGTTGCTGAAATTCATATCGTGGCAATGAAAGCAGATATAGGTGACTCACCACCATTATTTGATTGTTTGGACACAGATAATTCATTGTCCTCAATGAGATTCTCATCTGGAGAACCAGAAAACCACAGACATCAGTGTAAAATGCTTATAAAGAAAGCACTCAAATGTTAACTTCAATCACAGTCTTTAGACCATGCCGTTAGGCTTCAAGCCTTTCCAAGGGCTGAGCATTGTGCTTTTGACTTTGATGACGACTTGACGCGCTACACCAGTGACAAAGGGGAGGGGCAAAGCTAATCCTAAAGGGCGTTGTGAAAGAAGTGCATATTCTTGCGGATGGCGTAGCCTTAAATGACTTCTAACAGTGAAAATGATGTCTACGTTATGGAGTCTGCAGGAAAATCAACAATATTTGAGGTGAAACTTACCGCAAATCATGTAAAGCGGTTCAAAAATACCTCATCCCGCCTCACTACCAAGTGGATAGAACCCAGACAGAAATAGAGGCAAAATCTTACCTCTGAAAACTGGGTCAAACCTTTTTTCGGTCTTTAAGACCGTGCTCGCCAAAGAGTGCCGAACACGTCCTCCATGCAATTCTCACATCAGATACAGGTCAGGATTCGAAACTGGTAAGAGGAATTTGAGCCTTACGCCTACACCACTGTAGTGAGTTGGCAAACTTTACCTCATTAACTCCCAATTTCGGCAAAGGGATCAATTAGGGACTCCGCCCTTGTAATTCCGATAGGCAGCTCTCTTCCCCCCTGCTTCCCTTTCATAGCCTCCTGTATGCACTCTGTCCAAGTATCCTGACTTCCCTTGTCCCTAACGTAGCCTCTATGAGACACGAAATCTCCAAAGTGCCGCTTCAACATCTCTTTCAAGCAGTAATTTATTTCCTTGTGAGTAAATAAGACTTTCTATGATAGAACTTCTCTCGGCCACAGAGTAGCATACCACAGAAGTAAGAAACTGGAAAGTACGCTATTCAAAATGAAAAAAAAACATTTACAGTGACACAACTATTTGGATTGCACTAAAAGCAATAAACAATTTCCAACTCTTATCATTACTTAAGGACTTTCACCTTGGAAGTCCTTGATCCAAGCATAGAGGACAACCCTATCAACACATTCAATCCGACAGAAGACACACGCAATTCAACAAAAAGCAAACCCTCTACCCTCTCTGCCCTGAAATGCATTCCTACTCAAGCATGGCTGACTTACCTTGGAGTAGGTCCTCCTGGGAGGAAACGAGCGGCGTCGTTGACGTGTTTAAAAGGGGCGAAAGCGTGACCGTCGCCTGGTTCCGCATAACGTCCATGCTTCCAGCCAACAACACCTTATCGGGGTCCTCATCACTGTCCTCACCACCATCGCCGCCTTCATTGGTAGCTAAAAAGTAGGATGAGTCTCGATTGGGCTTGAAATCTGTAAATGGCATTGATCGAAATATACCGATACGGAACCAATAAAAGGAGAGGGAATGCTCATCTTCCTTTCCTGCATTAAGGGGCGGAACTTTCTGTTTTTATCTCTTGACGAGCCTTCAAAGAGCACCCAAGAATGCGAACGACGTGGCAGTGCTAAACACCCATTCGAAATGCAAGTCAAGCACTTCAAATTATCAATCACTATCGTGAGGGGCCAACAAAAGTGGAACCTACATGAGCTGAATAAATAGAGTGGAAATGAAAATAAGTCGCCTGACAGACTCGAAAATCAAGAAGACAATGAAGAGTCGCATATTGAAATGAGGAAGGGTAAAATGGGTAGGATAATAGGGCTGACAGCGGAATAGATGATTGGCCAGTAGACGAACATATACAACAAAAAAATCGCCTCGAGATCCCACCGATTGGGAAGAAGTAATTTGAAGCGTTATTTGATTCAGTCCTACCAGCTATTGACTTTCTTAGCTCTTAAGGCAACAAAAGCTGTTGTTTCCGAGGTGGACCACAGATTTGTACGGCATCAATAAGGATGCTAAACAACCAAAAATTTTTATTGAAAAAGGAAACTTTCTTAGAACCTGGGAGCACCTTGAGAATCCTTGTGTACCTATTACCACTATTGGAAGAGTCGAGAATGGGAATGAAGCTGGCCAAAAGCAGCGCAGCATTCAACCCATAAATTGTTTATAGGTAGTAGAGGTGATAGAATCGGTTAGATTTGGAAGTTCCCAACCCCAAAGGGGGTAACTCAGGTACTTATTTACCATCGAAACATGTAAAAACAGGAAATGCTATTAATTCGTCGTTAATTATCACAACCGCAAATTGCCAGTGGCAAGAGGAAAGATGTCGGATATCCGCGCAGCAAAGTGACTCATCGCACCAATGGTCCGTGGCCAAGGACTCATCCAGATGCCCCAAAGTACCAAAGGCAATGTTGAAATGCAATTTGACTTTACAGAGGATATACACGGCAGTGGATAAACCCCCACCGTACGACTCAGCCTCGCTCCAAGCTTGAAATGAATGTTGAAGTGGAGAATGAGGGTCAAAACACAAAACCAATAAACTCACCATGAAGAAGCAGAGCCTGTCTAGCCAATATGGCGCTCCTCCTACATCTACGCATCGGACGTTTCGCCTCAGAGCCCAAGACGGCAACGATATCCTCCACTATAGTTCTTCCACCGGTCTCTGGAACCTCCTGATTCGCTTTTCTACGCAAATCAAGGTTATTTTCATTTACGAAATGCTCAAAGGTGCTAAGGTTTGCGCGTTTTGCCTCCAATTGATAGTTGGAATCCTCGGTATTACTAAAAAATTATGGAAATTGAGTGTTTCCAAGCTTTCTTATTCAAATTTTCCTCAGGTCGTAAAAAATTAACAAATCTTTCAGCCTGCCTAAAAATTTCGGTGACCTAAAATGAAACCTAACAAAGTTAACTGAAGGATCACGATGAAGTGCTCGTAAAGTGAAAGATTATGGGGACTTCTTTTGAAAACACTTGACTCTTATGAGGAGTTCAGCAACTAGGCGTTTCATCCGCAACAAAAACTAGTAGGCACATCAAAGCTGATGAGACCGTCAATGTTAATCAGGCCCCATTGGATCTGCAAACATGTTGTGAATACACGTACCAACAGGTTAAGAATGTGACTAAATCATGAAGCTCGGTGCTTTTATTATTCTAAGGGTACGAAGCATCGATGATGAGCTGTTAAGACGTCATTTCTGGAGAGAGGATAGAATAATCTATTGTGCAGGTTCTACCTGATTTCACTGAGGTTATAAACATCGCCGTTCTGCAGAACTTCTTTTACTGGAGAGACTGGATGTTTTGTAGGTGAAGGCTCATTCCAGACCCGCTTCCTCGCCTTGCTGACTCGCGAATGGGACTGAGCCCTCTCTCTTGTACCAGTAGCATATGAGATCGAAAGAATACAAAGGTTTTATGTAAGCGTTGTGGGCATAAAATGCTGTTTTTCTTGACTCTTTTGATCACCAGTAGTGGCAAAATGCACGATGAACCCACCACAATCGCAGAAAATATGAAGAGTGTGAGTACGCTAAATTTGACAACAAATAATGATTTATTTGAGCAATATCCAGTGCTTGCAATGAATGCAACTACAAGATGCCTTTACGAGGTCGGTGAGAAAAAGATGCTCTGATTAATGAAAATTGAAGCATCAATAGATGGATTGGATTCCATCTTTAGGCCTCTTCAATGGTGTGCGAAACCGTTTTAGAAGCCTAAAATGCATAGAGGTACTATGGAACGCCACCAAATCTAAATGCACACCATCAGCCTGATAATGAATTTCCACTGATGAAGTATGTTTTCTAGCTACTGTGCATGCTTAAAAGCCATCACTCATCAAGGGAGACAACAAAGATTCGCCTCTGCTATAATGGATATCCATGTAAAAATAAACTCAACAGCTACTATTAAAGGTGCACAAAATTAAGAACATTCTCTTTCACCTACCTAACTTCATCTAGATCACAGACAGCCTTTTGTGCAACCCCTTCCACACAAGAAGCTGAATTCGTGTCAGAAGTGGGTTTCCTTGATGTCTGTCCCGTTGATTTACCGACGGAGGCTTGCGACTGGACTTCCTCTCTTTCCAATTGGATGGGATTTGGGAAATTTGAAAAGAAGATTTTTGTCAATAATCCCCTCCAGAACATTCGTAAATAAGAAAGCCCTCAAAAAAGGGATTCATCAAGATTCGTTTTGAAAGAGAAAATAAGAGCTCTTTCAATTGCCTCGAAATTGTACATGAAGATCGGTGACATTGCCAGATTGGCCAGCAAAGGCTTTCATAATGGACAATCGGTTTGCAGAATATGTCTACTACTATAGGTCATAGTACTTGGACAATATTGTACGAAGCGAACAGTTAAAGATTGCTGACGCCGAATTTGCCTGGCGCTACCTCCATCTGGCACCTTGTGTGAACTAATTCCAACAAAGGTTTAGCTAAGCCTTGGATACAATGCGCAAAATCGGGTAAGAGGGCTATCGCTTGCACTTCATGCGCTTCACAACAGCTGTTTGGATGAAGCTAATAGCGCAATGTTAATATCTCAAGGTCTTTTGGTAGTTAGGCTTAAATACTTTTCTTTCCTTGCACGGTAAATAAATGATGCATTGATGAAAAGGACAAAGGACTATCAAACTAATGTAAGTGACTCACTGCTTTTCGGCTTTTTCCGGTTGACTTTCAACAGCAGAAGCCCTTCTAGCGGACTCGCTAGCAATGTCCTCGTCACTACAAAGAGCAAATTAGGAATTTGGCGAAATTTGGAACACCCGAAAGTGAGGAAATGTTAGTTTTTACAAATTTGACAAGATTTTAAGATGATTCAGTAAATATTGGCAAGTAAAAGGCTTATACCTTCCAATTACATCAGCCGCTGCCTAACTTACAGACTGGTATCCACCACTTCCAACTTTGGAGCTTCGAGAGGCCTCTTACAAGGT